TGAATGCACGGAAGCATTCAGAGAGGGGTCAGCACAAGAAAGAGGTGCGAAAAAATACAAGGAACACAATGGACTATGGCGGTAGACTAGGGGTGATTTGGTGGTGGGTGTACGGCAGTGGTGATACCTGTGGGTATGGCATCTGGTACTTCCAAAAAAAAAAAAACAACAAAAAAAAAACCACCAATATAAGCCAATGTTACCTGAATTACAAATAAGTTAAAAATACATTTTGTTTTAAAATGGGAGAGAAAACATATATGGTGCTTCTGGAATCCCATCGAGATAAAACCTTGACAAAGGAGAGAAGAGATACAATTACTGAAGGGATGTACCAAGTATAGGAAAAAGGCTGAGGTTTAAAGTACAACTGAAAATACTGGTCTTACAGAAGAGCAGGAAAAGTTATTTATGGCACTACATGAGAAGGTAGAATATGTGGTGCAAATGCTCGTTGTTTAAATGTGTTAGTGTGAGTTTGTGGAATTCTTTTAGATTGTTTCAATTTACTTGGTGAAGTAGGAATTATGGTCATTGACTGGAAGTGGGGATGGAGCTACAGATATTAAGAAGTGGTGAACGGGACAATTCTTGGATCACCCTATGATCTCTACCCTCTGCTTTATAAGATCTCCCCCATTAAGTGTGGGTGGGAATTGTGTTGTGCTTATAACCAAACAAAAATGGCAAAGGGATAGAATGTCACTACTATGACTCACTTATATTGCATGGCAAAGGATATGGGAAAGTCATTTCTGGGATTAGGTTCAATATATGACTCCATCGTAAAGCACAAACTGGAGAGAAGGTTATTGGCTTTTCAAGAGAAGTATCTGTAGAGATAATCACACATGGCAGGGAACTTGGGTAGCCTCTAAATCTTAGTGCTGCCTCTCGCCAATAGTAAGAGACTGAGGCCCTTACAGACCTGCAAGGAATTGAATGCTGCTGTTAACCTGAATGAACTTAGAAAATATTAGTCTCCAATGGAGCATCTAGATGAGAAAGTACCCAAGTCAGTACTGTGGCTGCAGTCTTGTACACCATGAACAGAGGGACCAGATAAGCAGGTTTGACTTCCTGACACATGACAATGATACTAAATGCCTGTGTTTAAGTGACTAAGTTTGTAGCAATTTGTTGTACCACAACAAAAAACTAATACAAGGATCGAAAAGATAAGAGAGCTTATAAAACTGTCTTCTAGAGAGAAGAAAAGTGAATGGGTCTATGACTGATAGTATTAAGGGACACATGAAATCATTTGGTTATGAACTTAAGTGAGACCACCGAGTTTTATTTTTCTGTAGCCATAGTAAAGGTGTTATATATGTTATCTATTTTCATCTGATTTAAGTATTTTGATAGCTACCTACTACATAATTGCAATTTATGAGTAAATATGTAAATGTCTCTAAATAACATATTTCTAAAAGTCATGTTTTCTGAAATTTGAGAGTACCAGAAAATAATTACCAGAAACCTAAGATTAAGATTGGAATTGGCACCATTCGTTGAATAACAAAACCATTTTGTTGAATCCTTAAGTGCATGATAAATGTGTAGTCACTAATTTACAAATGATCAAACTCAAGGATTTTTCATATTCAAATTGTTATGAAGTTTAAACATACTGCTTAAAGAACTTATTTATTGAATGTCTCTATTTGCTTCATATTTAAATTTCTATTATATAAAATATTTCAAACTTTCATCTACTGATATCAAAACAGGCAGAGAAAAAACCCCCAAAAACTGTAAACTATTAGCCCTGCTAACTTTCTGCCTCAATGTGGAAATAAATTAATTTGCCTCAATGTGGAAATAAATTAATTTGGTTTATTAGACAGCAAGTCACTTCAATATTGTCACTAGAGAAAAAAATATACAGAAGTGTCAGCTGTTTCCAGTATTATTTTAAATTTCAAAAAGTAGTAATTCCAGTCTTAGAACCTTCTTCAAGATAAAACTCAGTTTTAGTGAGCCAACTGCTATATTATTTACCATCTTAAAGAATAATCTTTCTTTTTGTTATCACTTAAGAAAATTCATAGGTAAGTAAGCTAAGAAAACAGGGCCTAACATTTTATGTCGGCAATTGCATTCTAGATACTTTTCTAAAACCAATTAATTTTTTTCTTCAATCCAATGAGCTGATGTTATTATGTAAATTCCACAGAAAAGGAAACTGAGGCTCATTTTACTGAGTACACTTAGTACACTAAATGGCAGAACAAAAATTTAATCAGACAATTTGACTTTAACAATCATTGCATAAAGCTTTTCAGATAATCATCCTCAGTTTTGAGTAAAAAATTATTATAGACCCACAACACTGTAGTTTTAGTATGTAAGTTTGACCTATGGAAACACGGGCACAGGAAAGTAAAATGTATTATGTACTGAAACATGTAATCACTTAAAGACAGAAAAGATTTTTTAATGTTGAAACTGCAGATAAACTTACACTTTGATGTGTTTTCGGTGCTCCTTATTTTTGAGTTTTCTGAATATTTATAGTCCCCTTATTATTTTTATCACAATTTGTATGTAATACAGTCTATTTATTCTGGAAATAGAACTCAATCATAAGTTGTTTAGTGAATATTGATGAAAACACAAGTAGCATCTGGATATATTGTATATGTGTATAAAATTCACATGGAAAAGTTGACAGTTACTTTTAACAACAGAAGATATAACACTATAATAAATTGCAATTTTTAATCTAAAACAGATTCACTAGCTTTGATATATATCTGATAGTTATAAAACTAGAGACATAACTGCTAAACTGCAGGGTAAGGATAGACTTAAACCAGTAAATAACCTTCTATCTATTTTCTTATAAATTTAAAAGTCTATTTTAACTATGGAGTGATTAAAAATTATACTAGATATTTTTCTACTTTGGATAGGCTTACAAAGTAAGTCAATATAGGAAGATGAATTAATTAGATCTATACACCAGAAACAATGGTGCTACTAAAAGTCTGAATGAACAACAAAAAACAAATTACCTCTGTCTTATAATATAAATTGAGTTTACTGGGAAATAGTATAGAGAATAAACTATTTAAAAATAGTTTATTATTATTAGTATTATGAACTATTTACAAATAGTTTAACATTATTAGAGTGATAACTATAATTCCTTTAATGAATTTAAGGATTATGGGTTTTTCTTCTATTATATCTTACCTCCTGTTATCCAGGAGATATTATGCTTGTTTATACAAGAAGGAAAGAGAGTGTTAAATAAAATACACTTAATAATTTTTACTCAGTATAGTGGGCAGAGAATAAAACCACAAATGACTTATTACTTCAAATTGGAAAAATATTAGATGTGGCAGAGTTGGACATAGTAATATATCTACAATATAAAGATGTATGATTAGTAAACTTCAATCTATAATTAGCCTTAAAAAGTCATTTTATAAAAATTCACATTGGAATAAAATTAGTGAAAGAAAATTTAAATTTGACTTCAAAGACCAAACTATTGAAATATTGCTTTCTAGCTGCAGGACTTACTACTTTTTATATAGAGATAAATTCTTAGTTTTGTTTCTATTGCTACTATTCACTTGTCTTGTTTTTGTTTGGAAAAGAGTGATATGAAAGAATATTAAAAATACAAAGTCAGTTGTTTTAGATAACATTTCCTATACAGATAAGAAATAACATATGGAGTAAATGTATATATTCACTTTTTCTACTGTGTACATCAATAATGTAAGCTTGGTTATCATATTATGTAGTTCCATTTCCTTCAAGGAGAAGTGGGACACATCACTAGACATGGAAACTTTTTGAAACAATTCATTGGAGGCTAGAAAGACTTTTATCTAAAGGCTAGCTATGGCATAAAATGGAAGTCAAAGCTCCTAAAATAGAATGGGACGGTATGTGTTAGTTTTGCTTCCAATTATGACTTTAAATTTTTTTTTCTGTGGTTGCCAAAATACGAGAATCAATAGATGAACAAACTAACTCAGGGAGCCTTATGTTAGATCATATGCAAAGCCATATTTAACATATTTAGGACGTATAGTTCCAAGTTGATAGTCAACTATATGAAAAACGTTAAAAAGACAAGCTTTTGTTCATCATTTAAATGATCCCATCAGTCCCTGTATCAGTAAAAAATTGGAAATATCAAAGAAGATAACATTTCTCACCTAAATGAAGCTCAACTCAGACAAAATGAAAATGTGTTTAATCATTTTAATGAATATAATTTTTAACATTTGTCAAGTTAGTACAGTCTGGATCTGAATTACATAAAATATTCAGATGATTTCCTTAAATGTGCCAAAAATAACTACATTTTGAAGAATGACCTACAAATATTTAGTTCCAAAACAATCTTCAAACCAATCTAATAAAATATATTTGCAAATTTCCAAGTTTGCCAGTTTATACTAAAGAAATTGTTAGAATTAAATTCTAAGAAAATATCATTTTCTGAATTGTTAAACAGCATTAAAATGATTACAAATACCAAATTTTAGTACTTTAAGACTGCCAGAAATGCTTTTCATTAAAAGTTTAAATTGTTTACATAGTAAGGCAAATCCGAAATAAAAAACAAAAATGCACTCACTTTTAAAGGTATACCTTTGCTCAATAAGTCATATTTATACATTTACTTTTTACAAAAATGACATACCAAGAATCCTATGAAGAAACAATGAGGAAAATTTGAAAGACCAACTCAATAGATAACCTTCAGAGCTCCATAAAGTCATCATAATTCTAAGGGGACAATGCAGATTTCTAGTAGTCTACCACATGAATATAGTCTTATCTCAAATTAAAAATGCATATAAAATTTCAGGAATAACTGGTACTGCTTTCTCAGGTTATTTGGAATCTGATCATGGTGCACATATGTGAATGAACGAATACATCCTTAACCCACCATTATCTTTTTCTCCAGTGTGCAGGCAATCACTCGTGAAAAGTATGGTGTAGATGACAGGATGATACTGTACCTGATTAGCTCTGGAGGTGGTCATGGGATCAGATGGAGAGGACTTGGTGGTAGTTGGGGAAGATGGCAATGTCTGGGAACAAAGCAGTTCAGGAGCAAATCAACCTTTATAAGCCTTAAACTGATTATTTAAACAAAACAAAACAAAATAATGTGTAATATAACGAGAACAAAACCTATGAACAAATCGTTTTCCTAGTTATTCAAATTTAATGGAATTTAAGATCAACTAAGTAACTAATGCATGTAAATATGCATGCATAAGCATGTAAAAATAAATTCATGACTTGAAATCATGATGGTGACTGATAAAAATTCACATGAGTATTAAACGTATCCTGACCATATTCATGAATAGTAGTCTCTTTTCTTTCCCTCTTTTTTCCTTGGGGGGAAAAGAGATGTCAAACAAAAAAAGTCAACGCATTTCATGATTAAAACTTAAAAGGTCATTTTCCTATCAATGAATACAGTCGGGGATTGGAAGAAGTGAAATGAAGTTTACTTTGGCATAAAAGTATCCACCTACTTAATTTGTTGAATATCACCAACAAGTTGATTCCACATGAATTTAGGGATCCATACTTAAAAGCAATTAAATTTGCAGCTCTGAATTCTTAATATCACATTATCTTCTAAAATATTAATTTTTAATAAACTTAGAGCCAGTCTGAAAATGTAAACATTAACTTCATATTAATAAACAGATAACTAGTAGCATCTTAACACATTGCCATTATGTTTTTTAATTTATGTTAAATACTAAAATTTTAATTAGATAGAGGGTATAAAATATTTGTAGCATCATCAGCCTGTGTTGAAAACAAGCACAAAAATATTAGAAAAAATATTTATTGTTCACTTCATTTTGAAACACACATATATATATTATATAAAATGTTATGAGACCATAATAAACTTGAACATTTCACTGAGGTATTTTAAGACTTGCCATGTTTACTAAAGTAACTTCAAAGTGCAAAATGTTATTTTTTTTCCTTTTTAAAAAGATACATACTCAGCAAATAACAATGCTTAAGTAACATCCTGAATAGGTAAATTCTTAATAGTAAAATGGGACATTTTCATCATATAGATATAATTCTAAGTTATATTACCTTTTATAATAATATATATTCATAAAATTACTCATGTATGAGCAAAAGCATAACTTTAAAGGTTCAGCAGTGTCAAAAAAAGTATAGAAAATAAAAATATTTAATAAAGTCACATTTATGTATTTAATATTTCCAAAGTTCTGATTTTGGTATAATAAAGCAGGTAAGGGTAAAAGAAAGAGTAAGAAATTCACAGACTCCTGCTTAGTTCACTGCTTTCTTTTCACAAAGTAACATTAGTCCTAACACCAGATCCAGTTTAAATAAACAGCCCAGTTCCAAAATGTTTCCTGGCTCTTCTTAAGTTAAAGCCTAAGATATTTTCACAAGATTAGACTTAATCTTTATGTTTAGTTACCAAGATTTTCATTAAATCTGATTTAGAAAGTAGGGGGAATAAATTCATAAAGAAAAAAACACTCCTCCAATCCTTTGTTTTCTGCTTTTGCTCTTAGTCATTAGTAAGAGCCTGCCATTTGTCATCTCTAGTCATTAAAAACTGCCCCAATGTTTTCTTGGGTGCATGATACTTGGTTGGATGTTGGGACATATGCTGTTGACATAATATACTATGTGTACTGTAAACTGAATAGCAAAGGGTCTAATTTTCCACCTCTGATTATTAGTAGTATTGCACAAAATTTCTGAGAGTTCATGTATTCTGTACTAATATCAGATTAATAGCTATGAGGTCACTGAAAAATAGACATTAAATAAATGTAGAGGCTATTTCTTTTAGGACAAGTCATTAGACAAAGATTATGGCCAGCAGGGTAAAATCAAACTGGAGGGCAACAGCCTCACGAGGACATCCACCTTGTCCTGCATATATAATCTCAACAAGGTCTTAAAAATCTTCCTACATTAAAAAAATAGCAAAATTAAGTAGTTCAGAATAGTCACTTAGATTAATATTATCTTCTGTCTATTTATTTAGTATCTCTTTTTTTTTACTTGGCATGTGTAGGAAATATGGTTTTGGTTATTAATCATCATCATCTCATAAGAAGTTAATGTTTTAAATGATCAGGTAAAAAATAATGTAAGTTTGGGCCTTAAGGTAAAAGACTGTTAAAAAAAGCAGTAAAATTGTGTATACATAAATTTTTTGGCTTAAATAGTAAATATGTAATGAAATAAGTATGTGTTAAGTTTTCTAGTTATCACACAATGCCTTCTCACTTTACAAATTTAACTTATAATAAGGTGAGTTCAGAAAGTACATATTTCAATTTTTTTCTTAAAAATCTGTTCTAGATCAGTGAAAGCAATGTTTTCAACCAGACAGATAAATAGAACAGAAAAATCCATGAGAAACATTTCTATGCAATATAAATGTACAATTGTTGCTTCCTTAATTTTCATAAATAAAATGCTTACTCCTATTTACTATGCAGATTTAAATTTAGTCATTTTAATTCAAAATTAACTTAATAAAATTTCTAAAATACATCATGAAGATGTAAGAGAAATTATGATATACATATGGCATATGTATATTATAAATAGCACAAAGGGTAAATAAACTATTCTAAAAATTCTTTTGTATTTATCAAATAGGACCTATGTTGATACATCATTTTTAGCACAATATTAACTATCAAATAGAAAAATATCTATTTTTATTTACATGAAAGAACGACTCTTAAGGATTTTGTTTAAAATACTGAAGGCTGAGTTACCTCTTTCAGGAAATTTGCTGTCTTTCAAAATTTTAAAATGATAGGTATCTTAGAATATAAATATACTATATATTTATCTGTGTATATTAAACACAGTTATAGTAGTATATAATATAAAATGAATTAAAATAATAAATTTAAATTTAGTTAGAAAAATTTAATATGATTTAACTTTAGGCTTTTAGTTGAATATAGATATCCAGGCTTTTTGAATAAGAACTTAAAAGCAACTACAAATTATAAAACACATTCTTGTTAACAAGTGACAATTTGTTGGACCAGATAATATTATAAATAAACTTTATATTAAATACATTTTACCTTCAGGCAAACCTACAGTAACAGGCTGTCAAAAACCTTATATATACAGGTATAAGAACAGCAGTGATTCACTATGATTTTTAGTTCCCACTGTACCTATATACATAAGGGGTTCTTGATAGTTCTCCAAATTTTATTGTAATTTGGAATCTAACACTAGAATTACGTAACATTATTAAAACACTTTTCTAAAACTATGAATACTATTCTATATTATTCAATAAAAGAAATGGATGACATATTTAATTACATAACTATCACCTTTGATTTTCATCCTGACAAGTAACTACCCCTTCTACCAATGTATGAATTATCTGGAACCATTCAGCCCTGGTTACCTCATGTTGTCCAACACTAACAGATCTTTCACAACTTACTTTATTTTTCAGCTTATTTTCCTCATAGTTGCTATTATACACCTTTATCCTTTTCTTCAAACATTCAATCCAAAAATAATTTATCTTTCTTTCAACTGGTAAGTTTATATTTCTTTAAAAAAATCATGATTTTCCACAGTGAGTTTCCTTTCCTATTACAATTAACTAAAATTTGTTCAGTTTTCCAAGCCACATTTTTCTATCTTCTCATCCTTATCATTGTAGAAAGAATTGTGATCTTTTACTCTCCACCACTTTAGCACTCTGCATTGTATCTATTCCATGACTTCCGAGTCTCTTAGTCATCTCATCTGTTCTTGGCATCTCTAGCTTCTCTTTTCAAACCCCTTTTCAATAATATAAACCATTCTTTTTCTTGAGTGCAGTTTACTAGAGACTTTTTGGTCGTTTACTTTTTCATTTATCAAAATTTTCAAATCAGTGGTTTCCACACTTTATTCCTTTTTTTTTTTTTTTTTTTTTAACATAACCAGCCTCTTTATCACAGGAAATACTGGGAAATAATACTTTGCTCCCAACAAGAGATTGAAATTAATGTTTAAAAATTCTAGTGATTTCCCAGTTTCAAAAAATTGGGAAATTATCATAGTTTTCCCTAGGCATTTGATCCCCTTTTTTTAGTATCTGTCCTTACAGTTCCTCTTCTTGTTTTCTCAGAGGAAAAACTACTGATTTACTTTCTGTACTTACGATTAACAAAGACTACTTACTAAGAACCAGATATTCCATCCAGTTAATGTTAGTATATACAATATGCCTAATAAAGTAAATGGTAACTATCCTCAAGCAATAAGGAGGCTGAGTTACAGAAAAGCAAAACAACCTAGAGTTATACAGCTGCTACATTTTTAAATAGCCAGCATTTGAACCCTGGATCCTGCCTCCAGATTCTATGCTCTTAAGAACTACACTACAATGCCTCTGATTTAGTTTTACTCACAATTGCTTCATTAACTCACATGCTTCTTTTATCTCTCCTATGTGAAATTATCACCTCTACTGCAATATATTTTCATTTTTAGAGTCTTAATTATGCATTAATTAAAGACTACTTCAAGAAAAGAACATATTACTTATAATTTATACAACTTTTTTGAAGCGAATAAAGGAAGAGAGTATCCATAATAGGCATCTGGCTAAAATTCATTGCTTTCTAGGCACTACTATTCTGCTAGGGTCAAAAATCACATCTATTTATTTTTTATTCTTTCCTCATCGTTTTGGAACTAATCAATCACCTTCAAAGTCTTATAGATTTTACTTTGAAATATATTTTAATTTCATGCATCTGTCTCTACTTTCATCAGCAAAAGAGGGAAAGTATTCATCACCTTATTCATAAATTATTGCCTAGTCTCTTAAGTTCATTTTGACCAAAACATTCCATTTCAAATGAAGTTCTCATCCTGGAGAAGCTTATTCAAGTCTTAGAACTTCCCAGAAGAGAGGAGTTTACTGGATTTTGTTTCAAAAACATTAGTTAAAGTTGGAGACCAATTATCAATTACATTTCCTTGAGTAAGTTATTCAAGTTTCTCTAAGCCATCAGTTTTCATGAGAGTAACATGGGCTGTCACTGTTATTCTTGCCTCATAGGGTTTCTCAAATGAATGAAATTAATTATAAAGTGCATAGTGCAATGGCCAGCACAGAAACAGAAAAAGTATCACTATCACTATCCCCAAATACTACAGTTACTATGGATCCTTCATTCCTGACCACAAAACTTTTGCTTTCCGAACAAAGATTAATATTCCCTGTTTTGTGAGTGTTACATAAAAAAAATTTAGAAAATATTATTTTACAAACCTTCATAGATCTGCATAGTAAAGCTCTCAGCTAACTGCTATAAGATTTTTTACCAATAGCTTTCTTAAACCTGTCTGAATTAAAAAATGCATAGGTGCCTCCTCTTTTATAAAGTGATTCTCCAGGTAAGTCTTTGGGAAAATATTATGAGGAATACATAGATTATATACTGTCCCTGGGTCAGAGGTATACCAAGACCCACAATACTTATTTGATGTTAATTTCCTCTAAACATTCAATACATATGTTCCAGTTCTGTTAAGACGGTTTTACCATTCAACAATTATATTTTTCCTCAAAACCACATTGCTTCCCCTAGCTAAAACAAGCTTTCTTCTTTCTTCTCTGATTAAGCAATTCCTATTTTTCATCTCCAAGGTTCAGTTCAAGTTTTCTCCTATTTTTATAAAGCCAAATGTCAATGTAGCCAAATTTCTTTAATATTGCTCTGAACTTTTATAGTACACTATTTATATTGTAGCATGGATATGCAAATGCAGTTTTATATATTTTTAAAAATTTTAATTAGCATTGAAGTTCTCCCACAAACTAGATTCAGGGTGAGCTAGAACTATAATCTAGTATATTTTGCAATTTACTAAGAAACCATTTATTAAATTCATTTTTGAATGGATCAGTAATGAACAAGTTATGTGCAACCTCTGCCAATTTTTCATGATGAATGCAAAATTCTTTGAGCTAAATAGGATTTTGATAACCTTAATTTGATTTTTAAAATGCAAGATAATTTTAAAATTTTATATGCCCATTTTATTCTTAATTGACTATAAGTTGGATAGCTTTTCTTAAAAACACATTTGAGTCAAAAAGAGAAAATACGGTCAAAATATGTAATAGATAAAGGAAGCGAATAAATGCTTGCTTTATTACTGATTTGTGGTTTCTAGCATATTCTCGGATTATATGGTCTAATTAAATTAAAAACAAACAAATGAACAAACAAACAATCCTGAGGGGAGGTTGAGGAACTTATAGTAAAAGGAAATTGTCCCAAAAAGCACAAAATTCAAAACATAAAAAGGTGGAAATGAAAATATGTATACCAAATAATCTGGGTAAAGAAGTACTCAGGAATTAATTCAGAGCTTTCAGGTAAATAAGGACTAAATTAATTACCACAGAATGTCTTTGTTTTTTGTATGTCTTGCAAATAACAGTATGTTCTATATTTCAATTAATGTGTTTAATTTCGATTTACTGGCTCTTACTGCATGTATGTCTACATCTTAGATACTGAGTTATAGAATACCAGAAAGGTATTATGAACCTCATGATGTTAAGTCTCCTCATGTTAAGGCTACAGAATAGAGGCTATAACATTTTGACCTACTATCATCAATAGGTTAAATCTATAAAATATTGGAGTCCCTAACTATTAGCAAGTAAATGTATATTTTAAGTTAAAAAAAAACAGATTTAAGAATAAATATGTGAACTGTTTACAACATCTGTTATTTGAAGCTGGATGAAAGGCTGTCATGTCAGATTTCACGATTCTTTTATATGAAAGATCTGCAAAACCCAAATCTATTACTTTTCTAAGACACTGTATTTTAAAACCCTCATTTGGTTAATATAATATATTTCATTTGGACAGAATATTTGTAAACCAGATGTAGTGAGTAGTTACAGCAGTTCCCAACTGCCTCTAGATTACATAATGCAGAATAGTATATTTTATTAAGTCCATGATATATAGTGTAAACTTGTAATTTTTAAAGCAAGTTTTACTTAAAACTTTAATTTCTTGTTTTAATTCCAGTTACATATAAATTATACTTTTTTAGCAAGTAAAACTTTGCTAAAGTTATCAATCATAAATAAAAATGGGTGTATAATAAACATTAATACAATTTATAATTTCATATTCAACATGCAGATGTTCATTTTCTGGCTCCAGCATTTTTTACAACTCTAATTTTATTCTTTGTATAATATTAACTAAAAAAGTTCTAAAAGAAATATTGTAAAAATTATTTTAAAGATTGAAGCGCAAAGCAATTATACATTATCTCATTAGTTAAGGGAAAGACTACCATTTTAACAAATGATTCTGATTCTAAGGATTAGTGTCTAAAACATAGGTAAACATCATATAGAAAATATTTTTGCCTATTCTAACATCCAATGATTTATTTTAGATATCATTATCTCATACTTAGGATAACCAGCATAATCTCTTCAGAAATAAAATCGGGGTCATTTGATTTTATACATTTGACTTATTATGCAGAGAATGATCTCACAAAAAATATGAAGCTGATAAAACCAGACAACTAGAAAAATTTACAAAATATATAAAATTCTGCTTATCTATATCTTGAAAATATCTGATTCTGTTCCAGATTTCACATGTAATTTTTCAAATTTTACATTTACAGAGAATGTATCTAAGTGTAATAATATTGCCCTATTAAATTTGTGTATTTGATAAATTTTATCAAAAAGATGAAATGTCACATATATTGATTACATAGATATATTAAAAAGCAGTAATTTTTAATTCCATACAATACTACAAGACTTAAAATGAAAGCAAATATACAAAGGTAAATCAAATCATGATTCTGTAACTATCACCTTGAATTTAAATAACATTATCTGATTAAGACAAATAAAAATAAACCAAACATTTTTTAAATTTTACTTTTCATAGATCTGTACTGGCAGTGGATATGCAATAGTCAATAAATCTCTTACTGCCTTAGGGCAAGTTGGAATTTTAATGATGATTCATAGACCATTATTTGATGGTATTAGATATTTGTCATTTTAAAAGTAGTAAAAACTGATTCATGTCATTGACCTGAATATAATTTCAGAGGTATCATGCTGCTTGACCTGCATTCTATATCTCACTTCAAAACAAACGTTCACACCCATACCTTAGATTTTTAAACTTTCTCATACATGTTACCATAGGAAAAGGAAAAATAATAGGCTGGAATAAGGCAGAGAGGCAACAGGTGACACACTTGGGTGCTAATTATCTAAATTCTTAGCCCTTGGTAATTTTTAACACAGAAATTTTTAAATCAATGTATAGCTTTAAAATCTGGATAAAATTGGGTTATTACTCTCAAGACAATTGGTGTATTAGCCTAACAAAAAAAAGAATAAGCTTTTGAAAACTGTAATGACTGGGAAGGAAAAAGATATGGCAGTTTAGATCTTTAAAATATCTATATTCTGCCATATATCAATTAAAAGATATTTCTTGAAAAGTTGTGAAGAATACAAACTAAACCATTCTGATACTGATAAAGAGTACAGAATTGACAATTTTATAGGGACAAGTAGTTCCCTATTCATGACTTAAACATGGAAGGATTTCTTAAAATGATAATTAATAGAATAAAATGTTAGCCTATAATTTCAAAATATATTATCTAATTATTACTTTCTACATTTACACTTAGCCTCCCTTATCTATATATTGGTAAAATTAAGACAGATTCATAACATTGTGTACTATAAGTATTTTTTCAATTCAGAAACATGAAATTAATAATATTATGAGCTATGTTTCAAGTTTATTACAATGAACATAAGTATTCTTCAAATTAAATATTTTTAATGAGGAATAATACATTTTTTAAGAAGGCATAATCTATTGATAATGTATCCACAAATTAAGAAGCTACTTATATAAGGGCAAATGCAGAAACAATAAACAAAAAGAATCAAGTAAATCTGAGGATAAAAATGACTTAATGGGGAAGAATCCACCTTACTTAACATTAAAGCATGTCATTTTTTCCCCCTACATCATGTCATTCATTATTTAAACTTAAAAACTCACATTGTCTTTTCTTGAGTAAAGGTTTAGTTACAGAAAATCCCACACATGAAAATGAACATTGGCCTTTCATGACATATATAAATACTACACAAGTTATACAGAACATAGTAGCTGATTTGTAACAAAAAAGTTGCTTTTATACATATTTGTTGGAAAAAATTTTTGAACATGACAAATTAACAAAACAGGAGTATATGCATAAAAACTATACTGAAGACTACATTTATTACTGAAAATATAGTATTAGAAATTTTGAAATAATAGTTTCATTTCAATTTCTATGCTTCATTTAAAAAGTGATATAAATTTAGTAAATTAAAATACTATAATCAAAATCTGTGCCTATATTCTTAAAAGGGATATCACAAAAGAAATTAGTCACATTATTGCTCCTCAGCGTAACACTAACAAATTAATAAATCAACTGATCAATCTAAAGAAGAGACGCTGATGTCTTTAAATAAAGAAATGAAAACTCTGTTGTAAGTTGGCTTTGGGGGAAAAAGAAACTTTATATGCTAACACTTTAAGGTTTCTTTTATAAAGAATTTACACTACGCTGTAGATATTTCTCTTTGATTTTCCAACTAAACACTCACTTGTTTGATGCGATCTGGATTAACGGTGGTCTGGGGTTGTAGAATGCTGACTGGTTCTGTCTTGGCAACATTTTGGGGCATTTCTCGTATTTTTTCTGCAATGAATCCATGAACTGCATTCAGTGCTTCAACTGTTCCCTGGATCAAGCACACACGTTCAGTAGTACCTGTGGATAAAATAATAAATTTCATAAAGCTTGCTTGTAATTTTTAATTTCCTCCAATTATTTATGTAAAAGGACGATACAAAAATGCCAACAAAATAATATCAAATGTAAAACTCTTAATCAGAAATGTTCAATAGAATAAAATAGAATGAACACATACATTTCTCTTTTATATTCTTTTTACTTTACTAATTGTCTCAAAAAGGATTTTATGATTCTAGCAGAGTCAGAAATGCTGATCTGTTCTGAGCATGTATTGATTTACTGACATGACAATGGATACTTATAAAAGGACTTGGTTTAGAAACCTGAAAAGCACAGATGAAAATGTATGGAACTAGCTTTCATATAACATACTCTTTTTAAGCTATTGAAAAACTTTACTTAGTAATAATTTACTTAGTAATAATTTATAGCTATGTATTTAAAATACAATATTATTTAATATACACTGTAAAGTGATTATAAAGGTTGAGATAGATAACAAATTTATAACCACATAATTATCTTTTTTAAAGAATGTGGTTGGTATAAAACTGCTAAAGATATATTGCCAACAATTTTCAAGTATACAGTAGTATATTAACACAGTCAACATGTTATGCATTAGATATTCAAAGCATATGTGTTTAACTGAAAGCTTGCATTCTTTAATTTACATCACTCCATTTCCTATTAACTCCAGTCCCTAAAAATTACCACTAAAAAACACCATATTTTCCTCTATTTCTATGAAATTAACTTTATTTTTAAAAAGTGTCTATGGTACTATACAGTGCATTTTTTTTTCTGTCTGGCTTATCACATAATAATCCCTCCAGGTTCACTTAATGAGAATTTTATGTGGGTTTAAGTGAAGTTGAAAAACAGCATCATAATGTTGAGTTACTGTTAGCTTACCTTACAGTTCATCTTAATAAACAAAATTCCCAAAATACAACTGGTGTATTTTGTGTGTATATTTCCTGGTAGAAAATTACTGCAGATACCATTTTTAACATTTACAGACCTTAAGAATTTTTACCCTTGTACAGAAACTTATATTTTTTAATTTATTGTATTTTTGTTGTCAGTTTTGATCATTTTAATCCCTGTTTTATTGAAAAGCATTTTATAGACCTCAATCATCTATGCCAAATAATAACTGACCTGGAACTTTTTTAATTAAAATCACTTAAATCACTACTGAACTTCTATCACTCATTTAATTTTGTTTGATCATCTTTTAATCATAACAACACCACTTCCTGACATTTTATATCTCTTTTTAACTTTTCCTCTAGAACTTGCATTCTAGAGGAGTTCAGCCTGTTTTTGGTTTGTGCTGTAGTTTTTCCAAAGCCTAGAGTCCCTGGCATGTAGCAGGTGCACAATAAATATTTCATAGATAAATGAATCAACATTGCTTTATTATTATCCAATGTTCATAAGACAGAATATTAGAATAACATTTTTGGAAAAATTAAATCATGAATGACTGGTAAAGCATTATTAGTAGTAATTGTTGTATCTAGTGAATAAAATATAGTCACATATTATATGATTAAAACAAAACTGGCTCAGTATAGTACACCTGAAAGCAACAAAATATAATGGCTAATTTTTCAGATTATTCGGACCCTCACTGTAGCAGCCTGGTGTCAAGCTCATCGTTTTAACATCCCAGCATGAACTTCTCAGAAAAAAGTATTTCTTTACTAAACAGGTATAAAAAAAAATAAAATAATGGTATTAAAAGTGCTAACATATTTAGGGTTGAATTCATGCAAAATCTTTCAAATACCTAATACATTCACTACCTGCTGGTGTCATGATGCTTAGATATAAGCATTAGAAGCACAAATTTATGTGTGTTGCACAGTTAAGATTTTGGTAACGAAAAGCTGTGTTTCTTAAGTTTACAAAAAATATTTCAATAGTGAGCAAGTGTATTTTTCATCGTGAAGATAGAGAAAATATGAAAAACAATGTGTGTTTGAAGGCAGTATTTCCCCGTTCCTCTTATCAGTTTTTTACCCTTGTCTACCTTGATGTATCTCTGTGGTTCTTGGGTAAAATGATTTAGTTTATAAGGGTACTCTAGGGAGTCTTTTCACGGTTGTATTAATTGTCCAATAAATGCTTTGAAAGAAATGATCAATTTTTTTCATCCCAAGTGTTCTCCTCTAAGTCATTAGACAAAACATAGATCAGATTACATTTCTGCTTTGGAGACAGATACAGAAAGCTTTTTTGGAAAGCTCAAAGGAAAATCAAATCTCTTGGAAAGGAAATCAAAGCTCAGCTTTTTTTTTTTTTTTAACAAAGCAAGGCACTAAGTAATGAAGAGATTATATAATCAATTTTGTTTTAAATATCTAACTTAATAGACTACACATTGTCATACAAAACAGTAACCCCAATACTCTTCAGACTGTATTGACCAATAAGTACAAAATGGCAATCACTGAGTAATAAAGAACAATGATAGTCTAAAATAAATTTTAGATAGTAAGTTTGCAGAATTTGGAAATAGTTGGTATGTTCCAAATTGCAGCATATATTCTTTAAGGATTAATTTATATTATTTCATTAGAAACTACTACTAAAAAAAAAAAAGATTTTTGTACATCTGCCAATGAAATAACAAGAACCTTCACGATATTCTTCCACTGAATTCTAATGACCTTTTCCCTCATGTAACACAAAACTATTTTTTAGGAGAAACAACAAAGAGGGACTCATGTCATGTATGTGACCAAGGAATATAACAAAATGAGCCTACACATCACAAAAGTTGTTTTCCTGGTCATTTTAAAGGTTTTTAAAGCTCCATTAGTATCTATACTGCCAATTATAATTCTATTTGCTTAATAACATTTATTCTTCTTTGCAATGGACTAACAACAAAAACTGAAACAGTTATGTAAAAGTGTATGCTCAATTTTTTTTTTTAAAAGACTTATTTATTTGTGCATACAGAACTGGGGTACAGGCCAGAAGCTCAGAGGTGGCAAGAGTCTTCACCAGAGACAGAGTGGGGAGCAGAACAGGCAGATTGAAGTACACTGCTGAGGGGAACAGAGGGCCTGGTCAGGAGAGGTCTGCCATGCCATGTGGACACCTCCAGGGCAGGCGGGAATCGAACTCATGTGGAAGTGGCTTTAGCTTCTCAGTGCTGTGTTTTAACCCGCTGCGCCACCAAGGAGGGCCTCAAATTTTTAATAATGAAAAGATACAGGTATTTAAGATACCATTAATATATAACTGCATTTTAAAAGAAAAAAAATCAGAAAAATTTTTAACAAGTATGGTCAATGTCAAATGTAGGCACTGAGATCAAAAATGGTTTTAAATTTTGATTTCAGATGCAATACATTTACTTTAAGTACAAATGTTTCAAATTTGTAAAATTATCACATAGATTCCATAACAGAATTTTGACAGAAATTTAATCAAATACATTTATACTACAATACTGTATGGACAAATCTTAAACTATACCTATAATTTAAAATGTACCTAAGGCAATTATTTGTGCAGTTAGCTTCATTTCTTCTATGTACCTACTAAGTCTACTGTTTCTCTAGGTTTTAGAATCCTTAATTCATATTTTTCTCATTTTATTAATTATTCCCACTGGTAGAAAATCATTTTATAATTTTCATGATTTGTAAAACCCCTTTATAACAAAATCAGAAAAATAACACTTGACAAACCAAACGGAATAAATTAGGCAAAGCGTAGACTTATAAGATGAAAGGCAAACAGGTAATCTTCAGGCTGTCACAGACTTTATGATCAACATTAACTATAACTAAGAGCATGAAAATCAAACACTTGTGCCACTTCATGTAATGTAATATGAAACCAGTTATTAAATGTATATTTAAAGTAGTTGAATCTAATCTCATCAATAATATTGAAAATGGAGAAATAAATGATAGCATAAAGAAACAAAAGATAAAATCAAGAATGTAAGTGTCTATAACTGACTTAGCTTCCTCAATAAAGATGGTACTGTTCTCTGAACTACTAAGGGAGTTTTAAGAGATATAATGAACACATGTAAATTGGATGTAGATTCAACAACTTTTATTTTCAACATAACTATACCGAAATAACAGATAATAACAAATATTTACTGCTAATTTTAATAGATGTGATTTTGGCATCAAGTTGTATAAATCGTGACTTTTTTATTTATTTTAGCTGCATACTAAGTTTCTACAACATCAAAAATGAGTAAATAAAATAAGCATGTAATATCTTGATAATATTTGATATATATGAAGGATTCAGGGGTGGGATCGTATAATATTCTTTTACATTTGAAATTTTTGTAACAAAAGAGAAACATTACAAAATTCTCTTTGGTCTCATTCTGTTCCTTTCAGTTCTAACTCAATTTCCTTATCCCTTAAAATCTTGATTAAACATGTAGGCATATATTCCCTTTTACTTGTTTACCATCCATTCTTTTTTTCTTGAATCTACTCTAATATGACTTTTGCTCATCCAAAGTGTTCTTTCTTCTCTAGGGTCTAGTAGGTGGCACAGAATTTAAAGACACAACACTATCAAGCTATCGCCAGCCACTGCAGCACAAATTCAACCCCCAGGCCAGCCAGGGAGGTGATCCATCACCACAGCAAACCTCTCCTGTCTCGCCCACTGCTTCCCTCAGACCAATTTCAGCGGTCTGCCTGTTCTATGCCCCACTCTCTCTGGTGAATCTTCTCAACTAACCCACTCCCCATCTCTGGCTTAACACCCCAGTTCTTGTACACATAAATAAATAACTCTTAAAAAAAAAAGTGTTCTGCAAAAATCAGATTACATTTCTGCTTTAGAGACAAGCACAGGATATTACTTTTATCTTTCTTCTTACTCATATGATTATTATCCCCACCTCTATTTCACAGCACTATTTTTTTTCACATTCCATTTTTTTATGTACAGTATTTATCTACATGAGCCAGAATATAAGCCTTATGAACATAGGAGGATTTAGCTATTCA